GATACCAGATTTCAGAGCAGCGCAAGGTCGATCAGAAAGCAGTGGACTCGCAGATTTTACCAAAAATCAAAGCCGTTCCTCAGCTCCGGGGCTACCTGCGATCTGTTTTTGCTCTGACAAATGGAATTTACCCTCACAAATTAGTGTTCTAAATTTCTTACTAAGAACCTAATTAAATAACTGATACATTTTCCGTGTGTCCTTTGTTCTTGTTACTGTTTGAGAATATCCTTGCCTGTGGAGGTAGGGTTGACCCTGCTAGCCTGGTGTGGCTCTGGGTCCTGGTTCTGGCCTTCTGGTTCCTTCCCGGCGTCTGGCTGCTCAGCGCTTTTCCCCACCCCCAAGCACCAGGAAGGAGTGGCGCTTTGTCCTGAGAGAATCGGTACTAACTGGACACCGAGATCTGCGCTCCGCTGACCACACTTTCCTCCCTTTGAATTGCTGAGCTTTTCTCTCCCATCTCAATTGTCCAACCCACTTCGCAGGCGGTGCTATTTCTTGAGTGTTTGGAATGGAAACGTGCTGCAGATGAGTGTAAGGTTACTCCGTTCATTAGCTGTATGGGGCTGGGGATTTAGCTCGGGCACAGCGCCTGCCTGGCAAGCGCAAGATCGAGGGTTTGATTCCTGGGACCGGAAGAAAAACAAAAACCCCAAAATAATCATTAGCCGTGTGTAGCAATTTTGATCACTGTAGAGAGTGGCTTGCTACCTTAGGTCCATTCTGTCGACATTTGCCTTTCAGTTACTTATATGCAATAGGATAAGCCTGGATGCATGCAAGTAGCGCATATGTAGAACTAATTTCTAGGTAATTTTTTGTCTTGTGCAGTACGAGGATTTCTGCATTTCAGCTCTGGTGGATGGACACAGACTACCTTCTAGGTGTGACACCAGTGTAGAGGCTGGTTATGTACAAGCGCTCCCGGTGTCGGTTTTAGTGAGACAGTGTACAGAGGGTAAAACTCAGCTGCGGTGCTGTGAAAGCAACAGAATTGCCAAGCCTTCGTAGAGTTCTCAGCTCTTTTACAGCTTTCCAGCAACCAGACCACATCGGCTTTGCCTTTCTCACAGTGTCAGAAAGCATGCCTCCTTGAGTCTGGCTTCCTAGCACAGTACCTCATTTTTTCACGTTCGTGGTTAGTGGTTCTTTTTACTATTAACCAGTACTGCCATGTATTTATTGTATCCTAAAACTCAGTGAAAGACATTTGGGTTGATCACCGTTAGAAATGATGAATAAACTGGGGGTGGTGGCACATACCTATAATCCCAGCACTCGGGAGGCTCAGGCAGGAGGATCATTGAGAGTTTGAGGCCAGCCTGAGCTGCATAGGAAGACTCAAAAACACACACACAAAAAAAAAAAAAAAAAAAAAAAAAAATCCACTTGAAACATTTTCATACAGGTGTAGATGTAATGTTTGATTTCTCTTGACAACACTGGAGCAGGCTTGCTGGGTTCTGTGCTAAGTATGTGCTTAGCTTTGTAAGAACCTGCTGGAAGTTTTCCAGTTCTTAACCCACCTTGGAATAGGATGGCTCCAGTATTGCACAGCCTTGACTTGGGGGTTTTCTGTTTAAAACTAGTCATTCTAGTGTATTCTGCGGCATGAGGCTTGAGCTGTGCGTGTGTGGTATGTGAGCCTTCTGATAGGCCCACTTTCCCAGCCTAATGTTTGTGAGACGGCCTTGCTGTATAGTCCACACTGACCTTGAACTCACTAAACAACCCAGGCAGTCCTGCCTCACCCGTCCCAGTGCTGGACAACCCTGCCTTTGACCTCACCCCATGAAATCCTTCAGTCCCCCAAGTTGCTTGTTAATACTTCCAGAGTCTAGCATGGATTGTCACGAGTTCGAGGCCAGCCTCAACTGCATAGTACTGAGCCCTTTTCTCAAAAACAACAAGAAAAAATACTTTGGAGTCTGGGTGCACTGGTTGACTGATTGCAGCACCCCTCCATGGGGCAGACCTGTGTTTTCTGTAGTTATTTTGTGGCCCTGGGATCGGATCCAAGGGCTTCACACTGAGCTACGTCTCTAACCCTTTTTTGTCTTTCATTCGGAGATTGGCTGAGTCAGAGTTGCTCAGGCTGGGCCTAAACTAACATGAAGAGGGCAAGAATGGACTGCGAAGGTTACAGGGTAGAGCTGGGGCTGCGCTTCAGTATTAGAGCTCTTACAGGTCAGACACAAGGCCCTTGGTTCAGCTCCTGGGCCATACAAACACAAAGATGAGATGAAGTGCATAGGATTTTGATTTCAAAAGAAAAGGCATGATAGGTTGCAAAAGTGACCACAAGGAGTCTTGCTGTCCCTGTACATTAAGCCAGTGATCCTGAAATGGTTTTTTTGGGGAAAAAAAAGGTAAGTGTAATGGTGCCTGCCTATAATCCCAGCACTCAAGAGGCTGAGGCAGGAAGATCACTGTGAGTTCAAGAAAGCCTGAGCTACACAGCAAGACCCTGTCTTAGGAAAAAAAAATTTTTGGTCTCAATCACTATATTAGTCTGCTTTCTGTTGGCAATAACAATATCACTGGATGATACGGAAAAGGAGTTTGGCTGGGTGTGGCAGTGCATATCTGTAATCCCAGCACTTGGGAGGCTGAGGCAGAAAGATCACTGCAAATTCGAGGCCAGCCTAAACTACATAGGAAGACCCTGTCTCAAAAAAGGAGCAGGTATTAAGGACTCATTGTTCTGGATATCCAAAAGTCTTGCTTCTAAAAACTAGTTGAGTTAAGCTTCCACCCTCCTACCATTTGACAGTGGGGAAGAATCCTCCTGCCTCAGCTTCCTAAGTGCTGGGATTACAGGTATGTGCCACCATGCCCAGCTTGGTTTTAAATTTTTAAAGCGAGTTTTTGCTTATGTAGTTATGTCTTGATATTTACCATATTAAAATTTTAGCCTGGTAGGGTGGTGCACGCCTGTAATCCCAGCTAGGTTACCCAGGTTGGTCTCAAAGTCATGAGCTCAAGTGATCCTCCCACTTCAGCCTCCTGGGGAAGCTAAAACTATAGTCACTGAAAGTGGCTTACACTTATTTTTAAAGTATATGCATTGTAGAATCTAGGGGAATGTGTATGTATAAATACAAAAGTTAAAAGGAATATAGGGCTGGGGAAGTAGCTCAGCAGCACAGTGCCTGCCTGGCAAGTGCAAGGTCATGAGTTTGATTCCCGGTACCCACCCCCCCACACACACACACACACAAAAAAATATATATATATAGATATATAGATATATATTTTACCTGAGTGAGTTTGGAAACATCCACCAAAAAATCTACACACAAATGTTCATAGGCGCCTTATTTGTAGCTTGGGTGGTGGTGCACACCTGTAATCCCAGCACTCAGGAGGCTGAGGCAGGAAGATCACCATGAATTCAAGGCCACCCTGGGCTACATAATGAGTTCAAATCTAGCCTGAACTACAAAGCGAGACCCTGTCTCAAAAAGCAAAGAAAAAAAGGTGTGTGTGTGTGTGTGTGTGTGCGTGTGTGTGTGTGTGTGTGTGTCAGAGAGAGAGAACATAGCCCAGTAATAAAGTCCTACCTTAACATGGGTTCAATTCTCAGTACCACTAAACAATCAAACACACTGACAGACGGACAGACAGTGGTTGCTAGGTTAGAGATCGGTTTGGGGAGGGTTGAACAGATGGGACATGGGATACTTAGGGCACAGAGACTGTTTTGTATGGTACCATAACGGAAGATCTATGTAATTATATGCTTCCCGAAAGCCATGGTGCATACCTGTAATCCTGGTACTCGAGCACTTGGGTGGCTGAGACAGGAGGATTGCTGCGAGTTCGAGGCCAGCTGGGGCTACATAGTGAGTTCAAGGCCAGCCAGAATTACACAGTGAGACCCTGTCTCAAAAAAAAAAAAAATTTCTCTCAAGTAAGAAAAAAATGAATATAGTAGTAAGTCAGGTCCTTTTTGCCTCCTTTTATAAAAAAAAAAAAAAAAAAAAAAAAAAAGCCATAGAACAGGCGTTGACAATGAGCACTAATGTCAGCTACAGACTTTAATCACATTCATCAGTCGTCACAAGGGCACCACACAAATACAAGATTAATCACAGAGAAATACTGGAAGCTTATTGGAGAGGTATATAGGAACTCTGTGTTTCCCATTCAGTTTTTCTGTAAACCAAGAACTACTCAAAAATTTAAGTCTATTAGCCGGGCATGGTGGTGCATACCTGTAATCCCAGTACTCTGGGAGGCTGAGGCAGGAGAATCATGAGTTCAAGCCCAGCCTGAGCAACTTAGTGGCTCAGTAAGACCCTGTCTGTAAACAAAAAAAAAAAAGAGAGGAGCTGGGATCAATCCCTAGCACTGCAAAATAAATAAATAAGAAAATAAATAGATCAATAAATAAAGTCTATTGTGCTGGATATGTAAGTCAGTAGTAAAGCTAGGGCTTAGCATGCATGAGGCCCTGGGTTCCATCCCAGTACCAAAATCAGAAACATGAGTCTATATTTATTTATTTGTCTTTTTGAGACAGGGTCTCGCTATGCTATTCGGGCGGGCCTTGAAATCACTTTGTAGGCTGGGCGTGGTGGCGCACACCTGTAATCCCAGCACTCAGGAGGCTGAGGCAGGAGGATCGTTGTGAGTTCAAGACCAGCCTGGGCTACTAAGTGAGCTCAAAGGCAGCCTGAACCGCATAGTGAGACTCTGTCTCAAAAAGACAAAAAAAAAAAAAAAAAGGAAAAAAAATCACTTTGTAGTCCAGGCTGGCTTCAAACTCACATCAATCCTCCTGCCTCAGCCTCCCAAGTGCTGCAATTACAGGAATGTGCCACCATATCCACCTATGAGTCTATTTTTAAAAGTGTAGATGCAAGGCCCTGGGTTCAATCCCTAGTACCACAAAAAAAGAAAAAATTTTTTAGCTGGGCACAGTGGTAAGCTCTTGTAGCCTTAGCTGCTCAGGAGGCTGAAGCAGGAAGATCACTTGAACCCAGTAGCTGGACGCTAGCATAGGCCACACAGTGAGACTCCAACTCAACACATAAATAAATAAGTAAAATAAAGATCAATTCTTGGACTGAAGGTCAATTGGAAATGGTATAATGGTGGAAATACTGCTTTGGGGGTCAGATGCACTTAGATTAGAATCCCGACTATTTGTTTAGCTTTCAGAAAACTAATATATAATAATAATGGTAG